ACACTGGCGGCAGAGTGCATAGAGATCGTACAGATGGATTCCTCCCCTTCTAAAAGTTAGAGGAGGAGCTCCGGGGTGGGAGAGATGAATATTTCGTGCAAAAAGCTGGGATGGGGTAAAAATTGAACATCCAATTGGTTCCCTAACTTTTGGAAGGGGAGGAGCTCCGGGGTGGGTGAGCTGATTAGATGGGTAAGAAATGAAGAGACGCAGAACACAAAAGGTTGCTGGCACCCCCCAACTACATTTTCACCTTACAGTTACATTACTATTAGTTACAACAGTTACCTTATTAGGAGTAATATCGATCGGCTCACTAGCAGCCATGGCGTAGGAATCAAATGAGAAGCCTGGAATGAAGCACTTTAAATATTGGCCTGTTTACAGGTATTAACAAGTCCATGTATTTTCAACATGTTGCAGTTGTTTACAAAAGCAACGAAGTAACAGAACAACATAAACAACTAACCAATTCCAATCTATACAATGAATTCAACTATAATGCACTAAACAATTTGTACAAAGCCTATACAATTGGCAGAGATTCAAAACTCAAAAAACTGATGATTTCTGCAAAGGATTAATAGCCTTCATGGAAGCTTTAAATATTCTCATATAACAAGCTTAAGCCACGCCTTTTCCTCTGCAATTACAATAATAAGGAGCAATTTCCGTAATTTCATTGATAAAGTGCCAACTATTTGGATAAGTGACAGTTATTTCAACTAATCACAATCGCTCCAAGAAAAACCTTAGCGGATCGTAGATGAGATATTCGAGCAAGCTCTGATTATTGTCTTAACATATTTACAGACCAATATCGCTATATATAAGCCGACGCTTTTGCAGGAGAAAGGATGGTTTGTATTTTAGATCAACTACATAGCTGTAGCAAGGGAAGGAAGGCAACAAGTGATGCCACTAGTAAATGCACTACGTGGTTGATCGAATCGTGCCCACACCCACCATCCTTTCTACTTCCTGTGAACTATTAGGCAAAAACAACTCTGTTATCGAGGTTGAGAACAAGTAAATTCATATCGATTAACATCTCCTACAGGAAGAGTAGGCACCCGAAAGCCTTTACTATTCTACTTCAAATAAGTCATTACCGGCCCAATCTCTGCCATTCATTAACCATCTGAATTGACCGGAAAAGAACTCAGCTGAAACTTTTTGGAGAATTCATTTGATTCATAGCCAGAAACATACAAAAAAGTGAAAAAAGCTTAGTTTTTTGGGAAATTACTTGATGTCATGGCTACCGGAACCAATCTAGAATTCTACGTTAACTAATCCATCAACCCTACTGGGAGCTCCAAGACCAACACGTCAAAATGTTGACGAGATATTGTAGACTTGTTATACAATTGTCATATTTGCGAACAGAACATCAGAATAATACCCAAAGGTGAGAATCCAGCGAAGATTTTTTATTTTGGGTATAATCAGGTGAAAACTACTAGTTATGAAGAAGGATACATAAACATCTGACCCAAGTTGGAGTTAAAAGCGTAAGAAGTAGGGAGTATAGTTCGGCTGTTCCACATCTATTTAATACGGAAAACTCAGTATTTAAATTCTTACAAGAGACGATCTTGGCTAACAAAACCTTCGTAAGTGTAGCAAGGCTGTAAGGTTGGGCAAAATCATAAAACTCAACCTCTTCTTCTTCAATTTCAACCTTCCACACTCCTTCTTATATACTTGTTTCCGAGGTCTAAGACGTCATCGCTCCATAGTCGCTGTAAGCACCTTTGGACCATAGAACGATGGCATTTCAGACACCACAAAACAAATGAACGAGATTCCTTCCAAAGTTTCCCTAAACGTTATTGCCACCCGACTGTTGCAGCTCATCTGCAGCAGACATCCTACCTGGAATAGAATCATCTACCATGGGCACACACCTGGGAACGAATAAAATCATAAATTTAATAGTAATAGTAAAAAAGCGACACCGAAACTGCAGCTGAAGCAAATCACGCTGCCTTCACACGTCGGCTCTTATGTCGCCGTCGAATTTTCTGGAAATTGTGTGCCTATACGTCGTCTACCAGACTCCGTCTGCAGTTGCACACACCCTAGCGGGACGTCTGACGGCAAATTTTTTCCTGGTTCGCATGCGTGATGGGAAGTGGTCGCGTTCCCTCAATTTTCCCTCAGGAGCATTTCTATAAAAGTAGAAGTATTGTCATCCTCAATAATGGATCGGTAGATGAGGTGGATTTTTTTTGTCCACGTTAAATTCCAGGCGGGGTTGTGTATTGAGTAGGTATGGGCAATTCATTTAAAGCCAAGTCGCCTTGATTTTTCCTATTATGTGTTTTGACTTGAGAAGAATCAGCTATTCAGTTATGCTCATAGGAGTGATGTTTTTTGGTGCTGTGTAATTTTGCTATTAGTTAGGTGGTACACTTCTGCTTTAGGATGTCCGATGATCACTACATGAACGAAAACGGTGTTGGAAATAACCAATCTTACCATGATTACCATATTCAACAACAACAACAACAACAACATCACCTTCAACAGCAGCAGCAACAACAGCAAATGCAACAGAGAGGTATTCAAATGAGTCGTCCTGTGCTGCAAAATGAGCCATCGGTTTCTATTGTGAGGTAAGTTAATTGAATTTTTTTTTNTTTTTTTTTGCACTTTAAAGCTTCGATTACACTTTGATACGGTTTTGGCATAATATAGGATCTGTTTCATTTTTATGTTGGGTGTGCTTGAGTATTTATTACGTGATTCTGTTTTAGTTTTGTGCTACTTTTCGGCCTGCTACTTGCTTTTTTTAGTTTTGGCCAACAAGTATTCCTATTTTGTTCATATACGTCTTACTCATATAATTGCAAAAACTTATTCCGTACCGTTCATGGCCCTTGTCACTCATCTTTGCAGTCGCGTTTTGCTAGTCAGCGATGTAACACCTTTGAAATGTACTGTCGCTGTCGGCCGTAAGTCGGCGTTGACATCTTCGATCCCCGAAGGTTGTGAACAAATGGAAGCAGCATTCTCCCCACGAATGATGGGGCTGTGAGGAATTTCTTGGAGTTGGCTAAAAAACCTGTTTGAATAGTTTATTAAAAACTTGTCATCTGTGACCCCCAAAAATGAGTGGAAATCACACAAATATTCTAACGACTCCGAGAATTTCAACTATCAAACTGCATGTGATTACTGCCGGAAAGAAGACTGTAGTATATTGCTAGTATCTGCCAGAGCTAAAAATATAAAAGCGCTTTGTCAGTCATAAATTCTACAGCCTTATTTTTTAGGGATGATATCCAACGACCATTGTCGACATTGCAACAGAATCTTCTTCAGGGAATAACGCAGGTGGGCTAGTATCTTTTTGTTAACTCCTCACTATGGAAAATGAGACGATCTCAAAAATTTTCCTTTTACCTGACTTCATATAAGTGATGTAACTAGTCTTTTTTGCACATATTGAGAATCTCGAGAGTACAATCGAAAACTTCGTAGTGACATTTCAAAATGGTATTAGGTGAAGTAAGCTCTTGAGAAATGTTTGGTAATGTTTCAGGATTCTCCAAACATTAACATGCGCGATTTCATTAACGAGTTGGAAGACTACGTGCCTACGATTCCTGATTCAGTCACTCTACATTTTATGAGATCTTGTGGATGCGATTGTTCGGATCCGAGAATTGTAAGGTATGTCATGGTGAAGAAATAGATTTCGCAACGGAAACTCAATATGTTCAATTACCAGGTTGATAGCATTGGCAACGCAAAAGTATGTCTCCGATATAATCCTCGACGCAATGCAGCAGGTAAATTTGTCATATAACTTAATTGGATCTGATTAATTTTTTAGTTTTCAGTTCATTTGTATACCTTCCACTTCATTGACTGTTAAGCAACATTTTCGGCAAGAGACTCGAAAATTTTGCTTGCTGGTCACTGAATTAGGAGACAAACAACTAATTTGAAAGTTCGTCATTGACTCACTTTTGAGATAGTACATACATCATTTCGTGGAATTTCTATCTTCTGAGAAGTTGAACTCTTTTCTTCGATGAGCTTCTATATACGTTCTTTAGGCTCGAATGAAAGGTCTTGGACAAACGAAAAAAGGTACCAAAGAAACACGGTACTGCTTGACGAACGATGTTCTTGAGCCTGTTCTAAAAGAGTATGGAATAGATTTCATTCTTCCTCCTTATATGCATTAGGTGTCATAAAGCATTGTTAATGGAAGTGTTCACTCTATGGTATATCAAATTATATTTATTTTCCGCTCTTTCATTTTCAGCTTTGTGTGATAATCATTTTTATTTGTACGGAGCAACATTGCACAGTTGTGTGAAAAAGTGCTTGTATTCCTCACGATAATCTTTCTTGTACAGTTCTACGTAATAAATTATTTGTGAGTTCATATTGTTTTTCACTGGCATGGCTACTCCATTCATTTATATCCCAGCAATTTGTCTAGTCATGATTTGCTATAAATCTGAGCTCCCTGATGCTAAATTTAGTCTTATATCGGCTTCGATTCTATGCAAGCTGACGAAGGCTCTGAGTTTTTCGATTGTAAGCATGATTCCTTTGCGGTTGATGGTTCGTCGAATGACTCACCTCGCATCTAGGTTTACTGGACGAGGGGACGTTCATGTGGTGGATCCTTCCGTGGATTTAAGGTAGGACTTACTTCATGAGATCGTAGTTCGCTATCGCTTTTGTTACCATTCTCCGGACCTATGGTCAGATCGATCCTAATGTCGCTATATAAGTTTTTATAGACATATTTTCGAAGACACGGAGAAGTTGCGACGCTCATTGGAGGAGCGCCGTAGTAATGTTAGCATCTCGGAAGTAAAGGAAAAGTATGACTCGTGGTGGTCTAAATATCAGGCCTGGAAAGAAACCGACAGTTTGTCAAAGGTCTGACATCGTTTTTTTTCAGCGAATTAAAGTGTTTCTTCCTTACATTCTTTTCCCAGTACTTGATCGTAATAATAACGGGCCTGTGCTGAACGTTGTACTACATACTCACCTCCACTCATAATCATGCTGAATCATACTGTTGTATTTATCCCACCCTCCCCCACCCCCTCTAGGATTTTTACATAACATTTGACTTGTAACAGCAGTTTAGTCTGAACGTGTTGGTGCCTCTTGTCTCCTTGTCATCAGAATTACACCCTCATTGTTTAGGAGGCAGTGACATCCGCCAAAAAGGCGATGAGAGATGAACAGGCTGGTCTTCTGGCTGCTTTAGCTCTACCCAACTTTGTACATGAAGTGGGTAATACCGAGAAGCAGATGTTGAAGAAAACAAGTTTGTTTGTTTGCAGCTTTTCATTTTGAGCTGTATCTATTGCATTTTTCATATTTCGTTTGTAGGATTTGGCGGTTTTCGTCGAAGTTGTAGTTCATCTTCACCGTTTTGTGATGTTTTAGTTTAAATATATCCTTTTATGTTACGCTTTAGATCATCTACAGTATCTCACCCAGAAAGGTCATATGCGCGTTGATAATGAAATCGGTGTTGTACATCTTGAAGGATACCCGGTACTACTGCAGAATCATCTAAAGTACGTTTTTAGGGGTACATTGTTTCCATTTGAACCTCATAATTTTAGAATTGGCCTTTCCAGACTGCAGTTTCTTGATATGTACTCTCATGCTATCTTGGTCTCACCGTCATGTTTTGCTCGAGCCGCCGTGCTTGAAGGGGTGAACGTTCCACTGCAGGACTTTCTACAATTTACGGATGGTTCAGAAAACTTTCCCTCTACATTCTTAGGTATGTCTAGCTTCTTTGCCTCACATAGTAGAACTATTGCTTTCTCTATCTTCTGTTAAGAAAAATGATCTGGGAAATGCGAAATAATAAGTGTAAGGCTCGATATACATCGAGGGCACTGCTTTCTTTGAAAAGGCATAGCCCTCGCAAAATTTGTAATTTGCTCCAGTATTTGATTTCGCTCTAAGAGGTCCCGAAAAAAAGTTGATTGCTCTCAAAAATTCTGTAGAATCGCGACTTCTACAAAGGCTTATCATGATAAAATTTCCTCTCAGAGTAAACTTGGACTAAGTGCCCCTAGAAACCCCTTGGTGATGGAAAAACGGTGATGGCCGATTTCTTATTATGAAATCGGAAGTTAGTTTGCTCGTATATTTATCGCTGTTTCCAATTTCAGTTGGGCACTCGCTGTTTTCACTTGTTTCCTTATTTATACGGGCGCAATTCCTGGAAGCTAAAAATCAATGGCCGATCATTCTTCACA